TTAGTTATGCAGTGCGTGCTATTATATAAAATTGTTGTGCACTCAATTCGACACCGGTATTACTTTAGCAATATACATCTTGATGTCCTTCGGATAAAGAAAACTTTTTTATCATTCAGACCACTTTGCATAAGCTCGTCCCCGTACGTATCTTAATCAAAGAAAATTGAACCAGAACAAGAAGATACAAAGAATTAATTATTCATGTGTATTTGTATATCACCAATCTTCAATATCATCCAACTACGTAACAATTACTAAAAATATTTTTGCCACTTTTCATGCGTGCTACGTATTTCCATATCATCGAAAAATATCGTGGCAAAAGTTGGTTTGTCAATGATAGATAAAAAATAATACAAAAGGAGATTTTTAAACCAAATATCGCAATAGAGGTAGTTTACCAATCTCATCGTGACTTCCTTTCGGGAGAAAGTTTGTGATTGAATTCTCGCCAACGCTGCGATAAATTAAACGAAAGTTTAAAGTCATCACGTTCTCTACGAGGTTATCGCTACTTTAATACGTGTAACGTGCAGTGCAAACTGTGTGGAGCTCGGATGGTATTATATAGCGAAAACCGGATGCTTTCACTCTCAAGAAATATTTTCGAGAGACGAGCCGCGTCTTTTTTTTTCTCTATCTCTTTTCCTCCTGGTTTCTTCTCTGCAGTCCTTTTCAACATAATCTTTCAAAGATAAAGGTGTGGCCAACGTGTGGCGAACTCCCACGTTCTATACTGCGAGATTCCCATAATACTATCGATTATTAACGATGCATCCTAATGCAAGTTGTGCTATCTGATTTTTCTAAGCCGATAACATGCCTCAAATATAATAAATCAAAACGTTTTTAGATTTGTTTTATCGTCGTATTCTTCATCTGTAATGATTATAACAAAATAGTAAAAAGTAGTCATATTAATATAAATCGTGCAAAAATATTAAATATGATGTATTATATTTATTTCTATAATGTAAATATATATTTTAATTTTTTCTGAAATTAAATTAGAAAAGAACGATAGGAAAAATTTACATAGAATTACAATATTAAATAAACTATTAAGTTCCTGAAAATTATTAAACTATTTAAGTGCTATACATAAAATCGCAATATTTCATGCATAAATCATGAAAATGTATAGTTTTGCATAGCCCGTTGATTGAATTATTGGGATTGTAACTGACGTTGATTCAAGATACAGATGTCGGCGCAGCAAGATTCGTGATCATGAGATCGATTAACTAGGTAAAATTGTTTCTTGCTATATGCCAGAGAGATGCTTTACGAGAAAGAAGATCAAGAATAATTCTTATGTTGAAATCATCAAGATATTTATGATAATATAAAACCAAGCGCCTGTCTCATTAATGATTATTGATGCGACGACCACTTTTTACAATCTTATAATTTTGCTTTTATTAGATATTTATCAGCATAGAAGAATGTAATTATTTATTTCACACATTATACAATCCAATTATATTTTTATATTAATATTTATAAATTGTTATTTTATGTAATTATTTGATAAAATATTTAAAGAAAGAGATACTAACGTTATTTAAAATCTATTTCGTTTGAGATTAAAGAATTAAACACTTTATTCGCGTGTTTAGTAATTTATCGGTTAGATTCGGAGAGTTGATAAACTGACAAGAACGCGTCTCTCTTGCATATCTTATAGTATATCTGGTTACGTGCCAGTGCCAGCGGCACCGTCGTCACTAATTTTTCAGAAAGTTCGCGAAAGCAGGAAGCACACATTCCCCGATTTCAATTCAGTCAGTACGAAATTTTCCTCTCGTTCTACGGAACGTAATAGCCCGCGTCTTTTCCCTTCGTGACCTAGGGCGAAAAAAGGAACAAAAGGGGCAGTGCACTTCAGCTAATGTAATCACTTCCTCGTCGGCGTGCGGAGCGCCCATAAGAATCCAACCCGATTTGCGATTTGATTATGTCGTTCGCGTATTCATTACAATTTCTAAGTAGTGTGCGGCTATGTCGAAATGGGAAACTGCAAGCTGTAGCATGGCGGAACATACGTCTCGTTCCTCCATCAATATCAGCGTATCGTCTATTCGTCCAGCATGTATTTTCATGAATATTGCACGAGAGAAATGTACGTGCTACAAATTCATTCTTGTTTTACTTTATGATATATAATGCAATTTTCTTACTTTTCGTAAATTTTAAATTAGATTATTAATACACTATATAATTTATTTATTACACATTGTACGATTGTCAAATGTTTGCCAAATATAGATCAACGTAATCTTTTTAATTTATTGTAAAATTTATACAAAAAAAATTAAATATATATAAAGTTATCAAAATATTAATTACGAAAACGCTCACTTTAGATATTACGTTACTTTACACCATGAATAATGTTTTGACAATCATTTTATTTTTTGCAAAATAATATTTTTTTAAATATGCAACATAAATTCTGATTAGAGGTCTCGATAGCTGAGATAATCGCCGCATGTCATGAAGCGACATAAATCGGCGAAGTTTATCAACTCTCATTAAGCTATAATGATCGCGCAATGTTCTTTTCACGCGAGGCGAGCGCGATGGTAAAGCGTCATCTCCGGTTGTGTCGCAAATAGTGTCGCTGGGACAATGTTGAGAGTGTGACGATGCCGCACGCGAGGAAGCGGAATTCCCGCATTGGTGTCATCTCCATTGTTGCAGGATACGTAGAATGTCATTGAAAAATGGGGCCATGCAGGTAAATTGATGCTTAATAAGTAGTTGAGTAGCAATATGCATCATCTTCCCTCTCTTTCTCTCTCTTTGAGAGAATAATATAATTTATAACAAGATAATTATATATTTTGATCAAACAATATATTTTTTAATTTTACAGCGCATATATATATATACATGCTAAATAAATTTTTAAAAAATTATTTACTATATCAATTTGCATCAGCACAATAAATGAAATTATTAATACGCGATTACAGGACGCAAATCAGTTTTACAACGCATTCTCGTATGAGCGAAATGATTATTTTTTTTTAGATCTACCGATGCATGGCAGTATTGTCGAAAGTAACACAGTCTGGCAAACTGTATTATTACTCAAGATTTACATTCCGCACGAAACACGTAGCCTGCGTGTCTTTCGTCACTCGGACTTGATTGTTCTATTATGCAGAAAGCGCTCGCGGTTCATCGCTAGAAAGTAAAATACGTCGTGCATGTTTAAGGAAGACCGATTGTCGTGTCATCGTATAACGTTTCCTCTCTGAATTCAATGCGCTTCTATGATAACAAATATGGCAAATAAAACTGAGAGTGAACGTATAGATCACTATATCAGTGACTATTTATATATGAATAGCGCGCGCTGTATATCAGTATATTAAAAATATATAGTTTCCCCTTTGTTAACATGTTTCAAAGAGATGCCGTATCTGACAATTTAAGCGGAAGGTGATCAAGGCTCGTGATTCTTGATCGCGATACGCGGCACGATAAATTACGAGAATCCCGCGGAATCGCACCAACAAATTGCCGGCTGCTGCTTCATTACATTGCGGCGAGCCATAATTGGCGTGGTGAAATACCACTGACAGATCGCGATTTAACAAGTCCATTGAGCTAATTTCTTTCGATGCGATCCGAAAATCGGATCGTGCCGCGAGTTCGATAAATTGAAAAATGGCACATTGAAAGAAATATCGCGAATTATCTCGCGGAAATAAATACGCGCATTAGTTAAACTAATAAAAAATATGTTAGAAGCAATTTTTTTATCACAGTTGTTATTCTAATCCAAGTATTATATAAATATCATATATATCATTAAAAGTTATCAAATTCACTTGTAACTCCTGAGATTTATGGCGGAATAAAAAACAGACTGAAATGTCGGAAACATTGTCAACCCAGTACCGTGTATCTCAGACATACAGTTGACAAGCGGTGTCGAGGGAGTGAGGGTCTTGACTTTATACGAGTATCTCTGGAGACGTACTAAATCCTCGGTAAGCGTCTACGACTTGTCATCGACGTAATTGACTTTCTCTCGTGTCGAGAGAATGAAAGAAACCTGGCAAGATCGTCCGTCAGTAAGGTACCAACTAATTAAGGAAGTCCGATGATGTCCGTGAGCTAATTAATAACTGCTCGATTAAATGCTACGGAACAATGTGCGATTATTTTTCTCTCTTCTTCCGTATGTTTTTGTATTTTTCAATGAGTCTCACTGTGCGCGATCAATACTTTACAAAAGGCACGTGGATATAAATTAACATTTAAACGTACGTTCATAAAAAGCGATAAATACAATCGAATTTATTTCGAAGACACAAACAAGAGTAGCCGGTTTTGCAGATGAAAAATCGCATTTCACAGGAACGGATCCCTTTGCCATTGTGGTATTAAAATGTATTTTACGAGGACATATATACTAGTTTATGTAGCATAAAAATAACTTAAATTACTACATCATAATTCAAGTATTGTTGCAGAATATCTGAATTCGCTTATTTTAAAAAATAAAAATCAATTTTACACAAATTTCAGGTATCCCTTAATTCGATAATATATGAAACCATAAATTATCGACTTTTACGATATATTTGATCTCTTGCAATACCGATATATATATATA